TTTTCTGTATAAAAGATTTTAATTAAATTTCAATAAAGACAAAGACATGGTCTCACCATTAATATTCAAAAAAAAAATTACTGTGATCAGCAAATTTCATGCATCACACTGGGAATTGGGAATCTGAAAAAATGCCAGTATATAATTAGTTAAAAATTATTTGATTGATTTTTTAACCAATCACATACTGGCATTTTTTCTAAATTCCTGATTCCCGGTGTGATATATGAAATTTGCTGATCACAGTAATTTGAAAGCACGATAATAATTTGTTTTTCAAGAGTTGATTACCCAAAGTGTCAGATTTTTTTTTTGATTGCGTTAGGGTGAGGGTTTCCAGGACCATAATACCAGAATGGGTTTGAGTAACAAAGTTGGTTTGAATATCTGATAATGGGTACGGGTTTAAAATCAGTATTTGTCTTGAAATAAAAAAAAACCTCAAAATTGACATATTTGCAATACCAGGCCTTTATTATCTTGATTACTTAGTTCAATATTTTGTTCGTTTGAGCTAGTCTAAATAGAAATATTTAATTGCGTTAATTATTATCGTTATATAAAACAAAAAAATTACAAAATTACATACTTACATTACCGGATCTTCATTACCTTAATTATTCAATTCAGAAGTTCGTACGTTGGGTCAGTCTATCTAACATAATGTATAAAATTTATACATATTTATTGTATAAAATTTATATTTATTGTAAACAAAAAAATTCATGCAGATCGTCATGGCCAGAAGGATAATACCGTTACTGGGCACGTAAGCTATCAATGAATAAGAACGTTATTCGTCAAAATTTTTGACGAATAACTGCAGTTATTGGATGTGAAGCAGCCAATAACTCGATGGTATAATTTCTTTTAATTTACTTTACAATAATCGAAAGCCTTATCTATTACAATTATGAGTACATATGTATCATTATACTTTAAAACTAGAACATGTGGGCGGCTTTGCCGTCTATAATAATATATGAATGATAGTAGATCTATTTTTATTCTTATTTTTAATTTTTGAAGTTACTGCACCAACTTGATGCATTAAATTCAAAGTTTTTATTGCCATGTAAGCGATCGTATTGTGATCAGTACAGCCGCAGGAACACAGTATGATCTTATCACCTATAAAACTGTTATTGGATGCGTAACATCCAATAACTAAATATTTGGATCTGGATCAAATTTTTATTCAATTCCTATTGACAAATTAACATAGTTGACTGTACTAAATATATTCCATTTTAATCCCATATTTTAAGTTCAGATAAATGGCTAATCAATATGTACAGTACTAAGTTTATTCCATATTTTAAGTGCAGAGAAATTTGATATAGATGGCAAACCGAGAAGTTATAGAAAGAATCCGAATGGAGCATTTGTCTAGTTACTATTCTTTTAAGTACACGAAAATTTTGTGGAGTCATAATTATAATCATGGAAATATAATGTAAATACTTCGGAATGCATTTTTACCGGGATACTAAATAAGAGGAGTATCATGAAACGCCACTAATCATACTAGAATATATAATCCAATAAAATAGCATGAAAGATAATAATTATTAATAAACTTAGAACCTTTATACATTTTACTATAATACCTATAAATTAAACCTTAATCTAGTAAATAAGCTTCCACAAGAGCCCAACAACAAACCAAATCATATTTACCAACACAGTACATAAATCATTTTGATATCAAAAATTACAAATGAAAAATTTAAGGTAGTTCATTTTTAAAATTTAGAGTATTCCTAGTATACAGTTCTTCTTTTAAATATTTTACTATATTTTCATTATAATTCGATTCATCATCATTATCATCATAGCGATAAACTCCATTTAAAATGCACTTTATCAAGTATTTCCGATTTGGATATACTTCCAAATTGTTAATAATAAAGATTTTGAAATATGAAAATAATTCGCCTTTCTCCAATTTATGTTTTCTTGTTATATATTTTTCATTTGCTGGGTCACTCTGTTTTGCAGTTTTCTGCTGTTTGGCTAGCTGGTATTTAAATATAATTCATCTACTTAACAAATAATAAAAAAGAATAGGAATATTAAGTAATTTAATTAAAATCTTGATCAATCCAAATAACTTAGCTTTTATATAACCTGTTGTTGAATCCTCCTTGTAATAATCAAGTATATTAGAAGTTTGATGCATCCTATATTGTAAACTATTTACCAAATCAAAAGATTTAGTAATAATAATGCATCCTAACCAGACTTCACCTAGCCACATTAAACTATGTCTAAAAAAACGTTCAGTGTTTTGATCTACTTCTTCTAATGAAGAGTCAAGATAAATAGAAGTTAAAATAAGTAACGAAAATACGATATATAAAAAAAATACTGTAGAAATAAATAAATCCATTATGATTTCTCTAGATAAAATATCAGTTTTCTTTTCCAAATCTAAAGTGAAATATTTACAAAGAATTAAGATTTTCAAATTATAACCTTTCAGAACACTTTTGTTAACATCTAAAAGCATAGGCTTAAACACATCCTTAGTTACTTCAGTATAACCACTTTTCTCATAATATTTTTCTGAAGATAGATTTAAATATACAGTAAAAATAGTTGTGATTGTACCAGCCATTACAAATAGAGATGAAATCAACGGACCAATTTTACTAATATTTTTAGCTGTATTGATATGTTTTGTCATATCTGACCAATAAAAATTGCAATTAATGAGATAAAAATTTGTGCAATGCACAAATTAAAACGACATCTTAATTTGTTCTTATATGATTTATAATGCTCATTTAAAAGCATTATTTTAAATCGGATATGTTGAATTCGACATAAATCTTCGGGTGATTCATCCTTAGAAGACGATCCACTATTAGAAATTGGTTCACTATCGGAAATTGGTTCATCCGAAATTTTTTCACCAGAGATTGATTTATTCATAATTTTTTTTTAAAAAATTGAAATTTAATTTTTTCTGTTAAAAAAGTAAAATTAGACATGAAAAACTTCTTTTTAAAATGTTATGGGATACATAATGAAATATGTAGAGATGGTTTTTGTGTAATATTAATATGCGAAGTTTGAATAATCGTACGGTGCAAGAAATCTAAAAACCATAATCTCCTAATAGAGACAAATATAACCAAGTTATTTTCTAAATTATTGGAATCAATAGATACTTTATTGAAGTCTATTATTTAAGAAATATTTGATTTCAAATGTGCTTAATTATGCCTACTTAATTATACGTTGCATTAACTCTGTGCATAATCAACAGGAGGAACGTACCCAATCCAAAGTGGATCCCACACATGGTGTGATCAATTAAAACTGAAATTATTTATATTAGTTTTAATTGATCACACCATGTGTGGGATTCACTTTGGATCGGGTACGTTTCCTCCTGTTTTGCATAATCACGTAGCACATTGAAATCAAATATTTCTTAAATAATCGACTTCAACAATAAAGTATTTATGTACACTTATTGATACCAATAATTTAGAAAATAGCTTGTTTATACTTGTCTCTATAAGGAGATAATGATTTTTAGATTTCTCGCACCGCACGCATAAATTATTCTTTGCATAAACTTTATACATATCACAGATGGAATGGAAAGAAAAGGTTCAATTTGACGTTCTATGGAATAGGTGTGTATAACGGTCTGGGGAGAGACTTCTAGTTCTGGTTGCCAAATTTAGCCTTGGACTGTTGACATACAAAGGTAATCTTACAGCTAACTGCGTTCTCAATCGTGCGTTTAGTGTTTAGTACCGTGGAGGTTTGGACTTATGGTGTGTACGACTTGGGCAAGCTATAATGATTTTAGACTTTATATGATTATTAATTATGCAGTTGTTTTAGCAGCAAATGGATTTTCATGGTTTGTTTATTATTACTTCATTTTTAGAACAAAAAAATGTTGAGTTCCTATTACATGATATGTATGTGTATATGAGTGCTGCCAAGGGAAAACCTGTCATCGGGCTTTCAATGTTCAATTTGTTTACTGAGTGCTGTCTAGGGAAAATTTATCATCGAGCTTTAATTATAGTTTGTAGCAACTCGCCACAAAATATAATTAGAAGCCCGATGATAGATTTTCCCTAGACGACACTCAGTAAGCAAACTAGACATTGAAAGCCCGATGAAGGGTTTTCCTTGGCAGCACTCATATGTATGTCTTTCTAGCGGGAATTGTTCCTTAAAGAGGGTTTCCATTTTGAGAAAATAGCGATTATTTGTCTGTGAAACCTAAATTTTTCCTGAATTTGTTGTTTATTTTTAGACTAGCAAAACACGTTGTAACCCGTTGTAACGGGAAATATGATTTGACCTCAAGTATATGACCAAGACCGTGAATAAGAACATGTGACTTGAACCACAAGCCTAGGACCTTTAATGTTCAATGGTCGGCAAGTGAGATAGCATTTAACAAATGCTGTTTCGGGGTTTGGATGAAGATATTGAATAATGTAAGTAAAATTCATAGTTATGTAAATAAGTATTGTTAGCCATAGGTTCTGACAATAGGGACCTTGTTCTCAAACCAATCCACCTTGCTTTTCGAGTAGGCTTCACTGCGTTTTAAGTTTTTGTTGTGTATTGGTTATTGAGTCGTAGTGATCCGAAACTAACCATAATATTGTGTTAAAGGCATGTGACTACTTGATATATAGAGTTAGACAAAGCATACAGATATTAAAATGAATATTTATATAGATACATCAAATTAGAATCTGCATCAGATTAAACATTATTATTCTGCTAATATCTAACATAGGCACCCACCTAGCTCTAATAAAACCCGTATTTAACTGACGCAAATTTTAATCTGATGCACAACATCTATATTACCATCTAATTCAGAGTTCGTCCGTTTTAACGTTTTTGATTGGTCGTATCCAAAAAATGTGACCTAAGTGTGGGAAAAACTACAAAGAAATCAAACGAATAGCTTTAACATCTTTGATTAGCCGTATGCAAAAACTATGTAATCTTAGTGTGTGAAAATTAAAAATACGAAAACTGTGTGATCTTTGATTAATATCGTAACAAGTTCGTCATCGTATTATTCGTAATCGACTTACCAGTATTGATTAATAATCAATACGTGAAAATTGACAGCGTTATTCTTATTACATAACTCAGTTGCTATCTATTTATAATTTTTAAAAATCAACTTTCGTGTGTTATGTATGTATGCTTTGTAACTCATATTGATTGATATACCAGAACGATCACATGAAATGTGTGAGGTATGGTTTTCCGTTCAACTTTTTTGATGTGCGCTATGCTGATTTTTAAAAATCCTTTTTTAGTATAAGTAATGGTTTTCATTTATCCAAATCTAGTAGGAGTTAAGATAATACTGTCACGGCA